ACACGAGCAGACATGAGCAACAACAGTAAAACGTAAAGACACACAAAGGCAGCTGTGCGCTGACAGACTCCTTCCTTCTTCTACAGGAAATCAGGTGTCAGTATAAAAGACAACAGGATGTGAGGTCAGCAGAGGGCGCAGCGTCTCCTGCTGGGCCTCTCGGCGCCGAGGCCTCGCTCCGTTCCTGTTGTCCTACATCAACATCTTTTTACTTTTCAAAAATAATTTGAGGACAAGTTTCACGAGCAGAGAAAAACGTGTCGTTTAAATGTTCCAAATCTTTTCTGGTGAAGGCGAGAGGAGGCTGAAGAATTAACATTCATGATGTGTGACGGGGGGGAGGGGCTTATAGAGGGGCGGTTCTTGGGACAAAAACAGGGTCACTGCTGGTCCTCAGGTCCTTCTTCTGAGAGCAGGTAGACGGCTGCAGTGTGGGGCGCCTGCTGTCCAGGTGGAGCGTCGCCTCCTGTTACCTCTTCTCCTCCAACAGCTGACGGAAGTGATGGAGCTGATATATGCTGGTGGATAACCTACGGAGACAGACAGCACCGACACGTTCGACTGCTGGACAGAGTGCACAGTGACCCACGCTCACACGGAGCAGAAGCTTACCTGCCGAAGCCGTTCATCAAGGCCACGATCTCCTGACGAGTGAGCTGGAAGCCTTTGGAGGGGCTGTGTTCAGGAAGGTTCTTGATCTCCTTCTCAGAGAAGAGGATCTTCAGAGCAGTACCCAGACCCTGAGTCTGCACACAACACAAACTCTATGACACTCAAGCCTACAAATCACAGACACATGACGGGGAACAGACAGTCTGGGGGCAGACTCTAAACCCCCACAGTGCATTTTAAACCCAAAAAGCTTTACTTTAAACGGTTTTATTGCAATAACTGATGCTGTGTTACATTCAAATAAAACATCTCATAAACCTGTATTTGTTTTTAGACTGTTTCATGAACAACACAGAGGCTGCAGGAACACTGTGCGGGTAAACTGACATCACGGGTGGGAGAGAGTAGAGAACACACACAGACCTGCAGCGTGCACACAGCGTTATGTTGGGTTTGTCTACAGTTGACACTTGTTCACTGGGACAACACTGACTTTACTAATGACAGCAGACTAACCGTGACTCGAACCTTAACAATGAGGTCTTGCTGTGGAAACTGAAGACGTGTTAAGGACACCGTGGTGCGGTCATATATGATGCTACGTCTTCACAGTTACTGTGATTCCATTCAGTGCTACGCAGCCTTTTACGCCTGAGCTCTAACAAACATGGCGAGTGTGTCTTTCTTCCTAATGAAGGCTTCTATGGTGGCTCCACATCAGGGCACCTTACCTCCACCTGCAGATCTGAGACTGTGCTGCTTTAAAACGCACAAACTGAACACATGCAAAGACGCACCTGCAGTTTCCCCCAGAGGCGACATTTACTGCAGCCCACACAGTCCATGATCCTGGAGATGTTCTTGAAATGCAGACGAAACTCCTCCTGCAACAAGAACGATTACAGGACGCTGTGGATTATGACTGCGCTGCTGCTCATGCTGCGGACAAAGAGACTGAACCA